TGGACTCTGAATTTCCCTGGTGCCCAGCACCTAATTGTATTCCTTAAATACCGGTTCCCTCTCTCCTCCTTTTCTCCCTCCCTCCCTCCTTTCTTTCCTACTTTACACTGTGAAGTTTGTAAGTTTAAGTCTTACACTATTCTGGAGAGGGGAGAAACTTGGTAAGAAAATAAAATGTTTGAAAAATTTAAAGGAAACACCCCTGGAGTGACATCCGCCCCCCCACCATGGGAGTAGGGGTCCTAGATTTACCTGTCATTCCTTGATCGATATGATCCTTTGTGGTGTTTATGAAGATTGTAGGAAATCATGAGATTAATAACAGATGCCTTTTTTTCACTATCTTGTACTTGGCTGGAGCCTGTTTATTTTATGTGACTAATTCACATTTATAAGAAAATTATTACTCAGCCAGCATTCCACCTGTGTTTGTCTTTCAGCAGCTGGGATTTGTTAAGGCCTGGGCAATTCTAATGGCTGTAAAGTGTCTGCCCTGCATGTGTGTTTCCCTTGCTTCTTTCCCTCTTTCACATTTCCAAATGAAAATAGGCTTTTCTGTGTAGAAGAAGAGTGTGTTCCTCAGATCTGGTGTGTCTGTCTGCGTCCTGCCCTGAACTCACATTTACTTGACCCATCACTGTGTGCTGCTGAGTCCGAAGGCAGAGCTGTGCTCCAATGAACACCATCAACAGTTTTTGTCGGGAGGGTGGTTCACCATTGTCGACAGCCTTCTGTGTACCTGGCACCCATGGACCTGTTCTCCTTTTGTCTTCACAGTTTTGTGAAGTTGGCACTGAGAATTCCATCTTATTGGATGAAGATACAGAGAATCATGTTCAAAAAGCATGGCTAAGTTCACAGTGTCAACAGTGGAGGTGAATTTGGTCCAGGTGCATTTGATCTACAGCCCTGGTGCTCTCCCAGGGGAGCAAAGATTATCCGGAGACACCATCTGTCCCCAGTGTTTAGGCGTGTAGGTTTTGGAACCAATTTAAACTGGGTTTGAATCTTGGCTCCATGATAAATTCTGAGATTTGGGCAAGTTGCTTAACGTCCCTTGGGGAAATGACGTTTCCCCACCTGTGAAATGGAGATGTCTTAGTCTGTTCAGGCTGCTCTAAGAGAATACCATAAACCAGGTGGCTTGTAAACAACAGAAATGTATTGCTCACAGTTCTGGAGGCTGCGTAGTCCAAGATCAAGGCGCCACTAGATTTGCTGTCTGGCGAGGGCCTGCTGTCTGGTTCATAGATGGAGTCCTCTTGCAGTGCCCTCACTTGGTGGAAGGCGCAAACAGGCTCCCTCAGGCACTAATTGCGTTGATGAGCGCTCTGCCTCCCAGATGCCCTACCTCCTAATACCACATTGGGGATTAGGTTCCAACATGCACATTCTGGGAGAACATTCAGTCTATAGCGGGAGGTGACCCTTACTTCTCAGGGTCACTGAGCCATTCACGTAGAGCATTTAGCAGTGCCTTGCCAGGCTTAGAGTGAAATAGGATAGCTGCTGTCAGATCATGATAGCGTTTATGTAAATGAACTGGCTTCCTAGGTCAGAAAGCCAGGCCAAGGGGCTGGGATCAGGAGGTTACTAGAAGTGGTGGGAAGTGGATGGGAGGAAGCCTGAAGAAGCTAGGAGTGGGCCTACGGGTGCACCTGCTTCCCTTCCAGCAGGAGTCCTTCCTGCAAGTGGACGGAGGGGAGCATATTGTGTATTTTTATTTATTTATTTATTTTTGGAGATGGAGCCTCTCTCTGTTGCCCAGGCTGGAGTGCAGTGGCTCAATCTCAGCTCACTACAACCTCTGCCTCCTGGGTTCAAGCAATTCTAATGCCTCAGCTCCCGGAGTAGCTGGGACTACAGGTGTGCACCACCACATTCAGCAATTTTTTGTATTTTTAGTAAAGACAGGGGCTCACCATGTTGCCCAGGCTGGTCTTGTACTCCTGAGCTCAGGCAATCCACCTGCCTTGGCTTCCCAAAGTGTTGGGATTACAGGCGTGAGCCACTACTCCCGGCCTATATTGCGTATTTTAAATTCAAGAGGAAGATGGGATTTGAGGAGCAGAGCGTGGCTGATGGGTGGGTACAAAATGGAAGGCCTAGTCCAGGAAAACAATGATGGGACTGGAGCCGAAGATGCTCAGGAAAGGGAGTGTGGGCAGCAGGAGGGGACCAGATGAGGAGCGATTTCTGGGTGCAGTCATGTGGGCAGAGTTGGGTTGAATTCAGAGAGTCCACGCGAATAGGGAAAGAGGCCTGATGCAACAAATGTGAGGCCGGAGAGCGCTGCCTCAGAGCGGGCCACCCACCAACCCTGGAAAGGCAGCTGCACGGTCACCAGGGGCGCTGTCCACAGGATTGACGCATTTGTTGTCAGAGATTAAGAGGAGTATAGATCTTTGAATTTTGACTGAGATGGCTTTTCCTTCTTTTCTTTAACCAAGGACTTAGACTCCTGAAATGTCGGGAAAAAGGTTGACAGGGAAAACGTCCACCCTCCTCCTGCTGCTTGTCATCTCTGTATTTTTCTCTTTTGTGGTGGGGGGTGGGCAGTAAATAAAGGCATTTCATTTTAGGCGTAACCTGGGCAGATTTTGGAAAATGTAGACAGATTGCAAAATCATCCTATGTTTTCATCAGTTATCCCTGTAATAGTCAGTCCTTTTATTTTTTATTTAGAGACAGGGTCTCACTCTGTCACCCAGGCTGGAGTGAAGTGGCACAGTGGCAGCTCAGTGTAGCCTCGACCTCCTGGGCTCAAGCCATCTTCCCAGCTCAGCCTACCAAGTAGCTGGGACAACATGTGTGCACAACTATGCCTGGCTAATTTTTGTATTTTTTTGTAGAGACAGAGCCTTGCTATTTTGCCCAGCCTGGTCTCAAGCTCCTGGACTCAAGTGATCCTCCCAGTTTGGCCTCCCAAAATATTGGAATTACAGGCATGAGCCACTGTGCCTGGCCTGTAATAGTTATTTCTAAGTAATTCTAATTGTAACATGAAAGGATGCCGGGGCTGGGCTCAGTGGCTCACGCATGTAATCCCAGCACTTTGGGAGGCTAAGGCAGGTGGATCACGAGGTCAGGAGTTCAAGACCAGCCTGGCCCACATGGTGAAACCCCATCTCTACTAAAAAAAAAATACAAAAATAGCCAAGCATGGTGGTGTGTGCCTGTAATCCCAGCTACTCGGGAGGTTGAGGCAGGAGAATCGCTTGAACCCAGCAGGCATAGGTTGCAGTGAGCCAAGATTGTGCCATTGCACTCCAGCCTGGGTGACAGAGTGAGACTCCATCTTAAAAAAAAAAAAAGAATGCCTTGATTAAACAGATGTTTTATTAAGTCATCTCCATGAGTCAGATTGACAGGTTTCTGGTTGAGTCTGCAATAATTGGTAAAATTCATCAATAATTCTCTTCAAGAGTCACTCTGTCTCTGTTCATTCATTTTATATTGGAAGGGGGTCCTTATGAAATTAGTTACTGTATAGGTCTCAACCTAGGCATTCTTTCATTGTTGCTGTGGAAACCAGCAATAAAAATCATGGGCTGAGGAAGAAAAATAATTGGTGCTGAACATCTCTGTAAAATAGATGAGAATTAAGTTGCTGTTCGTAACCTAGAATTTTTAAAAATCATAATACCTGGAAAAAAGCTGAGACTCATAAGGTTCTGAACTAATTATATAACTGAATCATTAATAGTTTTTATTGGAAACACAGTGGAAAACAAATTGCCTAGCCTTTAAAGGAGGGTTTCCACCAGTAGCAACATTGACAGAGCCACTGCCATCAGTGCTGCAGCGTGAGCTCAGTCAGTTGCATGCTGGACACACGCCACCAGCCGGCCACTGTTTCAATAGGGATGGGAACCGGAGGGCCTTGCAGAGAGACATTGTCAGGTGAAACCAGGTCGAAGGCTGAGCAGGAGGCTGCCAGTGGTTTTTCTCATGGTTGGCTAATGGGCCGTGAGGGGAGAGGCAGCCAGGGAGGCCAGCACTGGCTGCCATCCCAGGGGGGCAGTTACTGAGATGCCCCCCTACCCCGTGCCCTGTGAGAGTGGCCCCTGAAAGTGGTTGTCACATGTGGGTGTTTTGTAAAGTGCATTTCTCATGTTCTTTGAAAGGATGGAACGTCATGGGTTTGGTGCCCCGTGTCACACCCTTGGCTGTTAGAGTCCATGGGACAGGCAGAGTCAGGGATGGGGCTGGAAGAGAACCAAGAGGGCATTTAATCCAGCCCTGTTATGTTATTGACGGAAGAAACAGAGGCTCTGAGAGGGTGAGGGATGGGCTGGGCCGCTCCTCACTCAGGAATCACAGCGCTGGTCCCTGCTGGCCAGGCTTGGGCTGCCTTCCACGTCTCTGCAGATTTCCCCCTGATGTCTTCAGCTGCATCCTGCTAGTTTGAACAATTTTCCTGTCATAAAACATTGTAGTTAGGCAGTCACTCTGCCCTATAGTGTCGGATCTTACCAATTAAAATATGCTTCATTAATTTTTATATGATACCCATTTTTATCCCAAAGAAGAAAAACATCATTTTGTGCTTCTGTGAAATCTTTCAAGTAATTCATTTATGTTTATTTTAAAAATAAGTAAATTGTTCCTTTGTCAACCCTAAAGCCTCAAAGCTTATGGGCATTTTATGTGTTGACTCTGGACGACCTGTTTTATCTGGGTGTGAGATACAGATACACAGTGTATGGGTATTAGGTAGAATGCTGTGTCAGGTGTCCCTGACCAAGAAGAAACTATCATTTTGCTGAAAAGGGATGTCAGTAATGTTGTGGATATGTTTCAGTAGTTTGGTAAAAGCTGTTGTGGAGTTGTAAAAGTTAGCCTAGTATAAAGGTCCCATCTTAGGAATATTCTGTTTTCAGCCAAATCATAGGTGCTCCTGCTCTATGATAGTCCATGGCGATGTGGTATAGGGGGTAAAGTGTGATGATGCAGGTTCAAGTGATGGAGACATGTTTTTCTTTTCTGCTCTTCTGCAGGACAGACCTACGAAGACAAACATGCGGAGTGCAGCCAAGCCCTGGAGCCCAGCCATCAGAGCAGGGGGCCATGGCCCAGACCGGGTGCGGCCCTTGCCTGCGGCCTCTTCTGGAATGAAGAGTTCTAAGTCTTCAACTTCACTGGCTTTTGAATCTCGACTCAGCAGGGTATGGACCAATATACACAGGGCTGGGCACGGCGCTTAGATACCCTGGGTTGGGAGGATTGAAGAGGGCAGCAGGCAAACCAGTGGCCTCTCGAGGCAGGGACGGAGGCCCCCAAGGAGGGGCGCGGGAGGACCACCATGCCTGGACATGAAGGAATGGAGCTAGTGGGTGAGGGTGGGGGTGCTGTGGGGTCCAGAAAGGAGGTCTACAAACTGTTTAACACAGTAATTAAGGTCCTCTGCCCTGGGTTGCATGGACACTCCCGGCAGTTTCACCCCAGCACCGCCCTGGATAGGGTCGAGGTCATGCATGATCTCTGTAGCCACCTGCAATCCGGTTGTAGTTCTTTAAGCCCCTCTTGCTGGACCCGGCAGCGGCATGGACGCTGTTGATTACACCCTCCATCAGGGAGTGAGTTCTCCTCTGGTTTTCTCCTCCCACCATCCCTTTGGTCTCTATGGTTGGGTGGGCCAAGATCACATTCCTAGACTAATCTCTTTTCTAGCTGCATTTATTTATCTACGTGAGAAGCTCATACGTAGCTGCCCTAAGACGAATTCATAGACAGTAGCATCTACCTCATGCAATACTTTAAAAAAAATCAACGTGATCTTCTAACTCAAAAGAGAAGTATTAAACAGCATGCATTTCCACCTGCAATGCCTGAGCAAAGCTGTGCTAAAAGCCTTGAGGTGCTCCTTAAAGCACCATGGGCCTGACAGCCACATGCAGACGGATTAGAGATGCAGCTGATTCCAGTTGTCCTGTTGATGACTCAGCTACAGTGAAGGCTGCGCAGAAGGAGAGACGGGATTATTTTGAAATAGACACTCTCGGCGAAGTTCTGATCCAAACATGGTGTGGGCTCCCCTTGTTTTATGTATTCTTGGAAAGTTCAGGTACCTTGGATCTTGGGCAAGGGGCACATTGTTTTTATGAGTCGAATGGAGGGAGGCTGTAGGCTCAGATAATAATTAGAGGTGTTGCTCCTGTGTCAGTACCTGTGGAATCTGTGCAAAGTCTGTGGGTCTTGGAGCAGTTCTATGTGCAAGATTGTCGTGAGCATTTTAGGACATCTGAATTTCCCATCCTCCTACTCATTAAATACTAGTAACACATCCAGTCATGGTGACAGCCAAAAATGTGCCCTCAGATTTTCAACACAGCCCCTGAGGGACAGCACTGCCCCCATGGAGAACCACTGTCCCAGGTGACAGGGTCCATTCTCATGGATTTTAACACTCTAAGTGGATAATGTCCAAATTTGCATCTCCAGCTGGGACCCCTCTAACTGACCTTGTGCCATTGCCCTTGGATGTCCGAAATCCCCCTCTAATGTAACATGTCCAAAACTGAATCTCAGTGCGTGCCTTTCCATCTATCTCACACCCCAGCCAAACCTGCTCCCCGAGAATCTTCCCATTTGTGTAAACAGCAGCTCCATTCTTTCAGTTGCCCAGGCCAGAGCCAGTGGCATCACCCTCGAACGCTCCTTTTCCCATGTCCTGGAGGCCATCAGTGAAACTGCATCACTTCTACCCTAAAAATGTGTATTAACACTGGCTGAGCGCGGTGGCTCATGCCTGTAATCCCAGCACTTTGGGAGGCCAAGGCGGGCGGATCACCTGAGGTTGGAAGTTTGAGACCAGCCTGACCAACATGGAGAAACCCCATCTCTATGAAAAATATAAAATTAGCCAGATGTGGTGATGCATGCCTGTAATCCCAGCTACTCAGGAGGCTGAGGCAGGAGAATTGCTTGAACCCTGGATGTGGAGGTTGCAGTGAGCCAAGATCGCATCATTGCACTCTAGCCTGGGTGACAAGAGCGAAACTCCATCTCAAAACAAAACAAAAAAATATGTGTTAACTCCAACCAATTCCCACTGCCTCCCTTGTGACCAGTCGGGTCATGCTGCCACCCTTCTGTGTCCTGGTCCTGGTCCTTGAAATGCCTGAGTCATGTCACTTCTCTGCTTAAACCCTCTAGTGGCTCTCCCTGTTCACTCAGAGTGAAAAGCAAAGTCCTTGAAATGGCCAGTGATGCCCTCAAGGCCCAATACTATCCCCTCCCTCTCAGATGTGGCCTCACTCCTCTGTGCCTTGGCTCCTGGAGCTCCAGCCACATGGTCTGCCGGTGTCTGGTGACAGCTGTCTCTCAGATATACCAGGCGCACTCCTGTGGCAGTGTGTTTGTGTTTGCTGCTCCCTCTGCCTGGAAGGCACCTGATACCTCTACAGGAAGTGCCCTTGACCTCCATCCTCCTCCTCCTGCCTCGTTTTTCCTCTCAGCTCTTGATGCCATTGTACACACCTGCTTATTTAGGATCTGTCTTCTCACTGGTGGAAAGTAAGCCCCCTTGGGGCAGGGACTGTATACTTTCTTTTTTGTCCTCAGCTCTGTCCCTGGTGCTTAGAAGAGCACCTGCTATCTGGTAGGCACTCAGTATTTATTGAATGATGAGCACACCTGTTTTCTGGCGGTCTGATGGAACAGGAGGAGCCTGGGGGCGTGGGGCCAGCCTGAGTTGGAATCCTGGCTCAGCCACTTTTCTGCTGTGAAGCTGCAGGCAAGCTGTGTAGCTGCTCTGAGCTTGTGCTTCCTTGTCTTTGAGATGAAGGTAACACCTTTGCCACAGGAGTAAATGTAGATAAAGCATCCTATGTATAATTTTATTATTCTATTATCCTGGATTCAACCATCATTTCCATTGTTTTCGTTTTTATTATCCTCAACCCAATAGCACATTTTAAACTTAGAGTTTTATGTTTATTATTATTTTTTCTATATCCAATAAGCAACATATGAATTTAGACTTTTAAATGAATGTATACATTCCACAATAAAAGACCATTAAAGCTTGTGGAATATGGAAATATTTTTAAAAGCAGTGTTTAAAATAAGGCCTTGGCCAGGCAGGGTGGCTCACACCTATAATCCCAGCACTTTGGGAAGCTGAGGTGGGTGGATCACCTGAGGTCAGAAGTCCAAGACCAGCTTACATGGTGAAACCCTGTCGCCACTTAAAAAAAAAAAAAAAAATTAGCCTTACCTGGGCATGGTGTCATATGCCTATAGTCCTAGCTACTTGGGTGGCTGAGACAGGAGAATTGCTTGAACCTGGGAGGCAGAGGTTGCAGTGAGCCGAGATCGCACCACTGCACTCCAGCCTGGTGACACAGTGAGACTCTATCTCAATAAAATCAAATAAAATAAGGCCTGAAGCATAGGAGTGTTTCTAAAGACAATGAATGAGATGCTGGCCACTTCTGCCATCAATAGGTTCATGTTTTGGAAACTTGTTCCACAGGGGAAATATCAGGGAAAAGCAAATATAGTCATTCCTTGGTATCCTTGAAGGATTGGTTCCAGGACCCACTGTGGATACCAAAATCCACGGATGCTCAAGTCCCTGCTCTAAAGGGTGTTTGCGTATAGCCTACACGCATCCTGCTGAATACTTTGTCATCTCTAGATTGCCGATAATACCTCATACAATGTAACTGCCATATACATAGTTGTTACATCATTTAAAATTTTTTACTGTTGCATTGTTAATTTTTTAAATTAATTTTTAAAATAACTTTTCTGCACTTGGTACTGTGCACCTATTAGGGGCCTTCTGCTCTCCTTCCTGATTCCTGTCCTCTCCAGGCCTGATTCTGTGAAGGAGAATGATAGGGCTTGAGGGAAGGAGCAGCAGAGGGAAATGAACCCCACCTGACCCTTTCCAGCCCTTGTTCTGTTCCTCTGATTTGACCTTCTTCTTTCTACCTATGGTATGGGAAGAAGAAAAAGAGTATAAAAGAATTTGGAGAACAGAAGAGAAAAAGGGGAAATGGTGGTAGACAAAAAAGCAAGTAATCCCACTGCTCCCCCAATATTTTAGTATGAGAATTTGTAAGCACACAGGGAGGTTCTGCAGTAGTACAGGGGATCCTGCAGCAGACACCACGGACCACCACCTAGATTCTACAGTCGGCATCTCGCTATTTCTGCTTTACAGAATGGATAGACAGGGTTTCACTGGTCAAAACGGGAAAACTGAGACAAATCCACCCAAAGCAGAACTAAATGCCTGACTTTCTTTTTTTAATTTTAATTTTAATTTTTATAAAATTTTACTTTAAGTTCCGGAATACATGTGCAGAACGTACAGGTTTGTTACCTAGGTATACAAGTGCCATGGTGGTTTCCTGCATCTATCAAACGGTCATCCAGGCTTGAAGCCCCGCATGCATTAGCTATTTGTCCTAATGTTCTCCCTCCCCTTGCCCCCAACCCACCAACAGACTTGGGTGTGTGATATTCCCCTCCCTGTGTCTATGTGTTCTTATTGTTCAACTCCCACTTATGAATGAGAACATGTGGTTGGTTTTCTGTTCCTGTGTTAGTTTGCTGGGAATGATGGCTTCCAGCTTCATCCATGTCCCTACAAAGGACATGAAGGCATCTTTTTTTATGGCTGCATAGTATTTCATGGTATATATATGCCACATTTTCTTTATCCAGTCTATCGTTGATGGGCATTTCTGTTGGTTCTAAGTTTTTGCTATTGTAAATCATGCTGCAGTAAACATACATGTGCATGTGTCCTTATAATAGAATGATTTATATTCCTTTGGGCATATACCCAGTAATGGAATTGCTGGGTCAAATGGTATTTCTGGTTCTAGGTCCTTGAGGAATTGCCACGCTGTCTTCCACAATGGTGGAACTAATTTACACTCCCATAGGAACACAGTGTAAAAGTGTTCCTGTTTCTCCACAGCCTCACCAGCATCTGTTGTTGTTCTTTTTTTTAAAGGGATGATCACCATTCTATCTGGCGTGAGATGGCATCTCATTGTGGTTTGATTTGCATTTCTCTAATGACCAGTGGTGATGAGCATTTTTTCATATGTTTTGTTGGCTGCATAAATGTTTTCTTTTGAGAAATGTCTAAATACCTGAGTTTCAATATTGGCCTGAACTGAAGGAGCAGTGAAAGAAAGGATGG